TCGACTACTGACCCACTCAAGGCATCACGCAGTTCAGCCAATGTGAACAGAGATCCTCCCCAAGGCCAGCAGCGACGGCACTCAATGGTCCTACCTGTCAACAGGTAACATTTATGGTGCAGTGACAGTTGCACAGGGGGCCCTGTGAGAGCTGAGGGGACGAGCATCTAACAAAGCTCTGGGTGGGAGTACTCCCAGCTGAGTCATGGACTTGAACCTGGCAGAGATATCACAGAAACAGGAGCAACAGAGACAGAAGCAGGTGGGCACACACACACATGCTATCTTGGCATGTTCCCAAGATAACAGGCTGACTGGTACAGAATTCATGTGATGTCAAGGGAAAGATGCTTGCACAGGTAATGGGGCGGACCAACAAAGGACTTAAGTCCCAGGTCAAGGGATTTAATGTTAAAACAATAGTAGCTGATACTTTGACAGCATTTATGATCACCTTCAAGATTCCCTCAAGAACCTTCAGGATTCCCTCTGAGAACTTTGAAGCTGGTGAGTTGGAAGGAAGGATTAGAAGCAAAAAGTGCATGGGTTAGAGCTCAGAGTAATAATTGTTGACAAGTAAAAACGCTTGGCACCAAACACCTTCAGTGTCTAAGGAAATATTCTGCCCTGGGAGTTCTGTTCTTGCTCTCCTCTGAGGCATCTCACCCTAGCTCCCTTTATGGGTGAAAAGAGAACTTACTTTATAGTTACTGAAATTATTTATGTATCTTATTCTCGATAGAGGAGGGGTTCCTTTAACATGCCCCAATATACTAGGAGTTCCTCATCACTGACCACGGTGTCTGATAGATAGAAGACATGCAATAAATGTTTATTGAATGAAAGGGTATTTTGTTCATTAAGTATTTTGGTTAATAGTTCCCACATCAAATGCAGAAAACCCATTCCCACGAAATAAGAAAGTAAATAAAACAGACCCTATTCTGTTTACTGCTATTTCTTCCCTCTTCTTCATCTCCCAGGGAAGCATATGGTTTCCTCAACCCTGTTTCTGGGCTCTGTGAATGACTTGTGTTGGTCAATTGGATGTTAATTAGAGGTGGAGCAAGCAGAGGCTTGAACTGTGCTTGCACTCTTGAACTTCTACTACTGCCAAGTGCATATTCTCTGGCCAGCCTAATGGTGCATGGAGCACGTGAGTATTTGGAACACGGTCCGACCCAAGTGGCTGCTTAGGCCACCTCATGGGTTCAGCTGAGATAAGCTTACGGACGGAGCCTGCCTGCTTGTTGTATGGTCTTATTAAAAGCACGTGCTTCTTCTTGTTCTTGTTTTTCTTCTTATTTTACACCGTTGTTCATTTTTGTATAATGTTTGAAATCTCCCCTCAATTGTAATCCCTGTCACATTCCCACCAGCAAATGACCCGTGAACCGTCACCATAGTCTCTTGTGGAAAACACATGTTTATTGTATGCCTTGGCGAATTGGGAATTGTTTGTTAATCAGCAACTGATACAGCTCTTTACTAAAAATGCACCAACTATAATCTTGTTATCCTCTCTTAGGAAGGTGAATCAGAGGCTCTGATTTCAGATATTTCTACCTTTCAGTTTCCTCATCTGTAAAAACCATAAAGTTGTTCTAAGGATTGCATGAACTAGTGCCAGAAGAAAACTTCATGCATGAGAAGTGCTCAATGTGTTCTATGAGGTGTTTCTGCACCCTGGGTCCCCACTTTAAACAGCAGTTTCCTCAGGTGTGTGGATGGGCCAGTGAATGGAGCCCTTAGCGTAACAAAACATCAGATGACACAACATCTATTGTGTGTTGAAGCATGCCCTTCCAGAAAGACCTGCAGTGAACTCCCCCTTGGCTGCCAGAGCACGAAACAGCACTGCCTGCTTATGACAGTCAATTAATTGATGACACAGCTGTCCTGGAGGAGGTGGAATCAGTGTCCCAGTCTTACGTCCTACAGTGTGAGAGAGGCTAAGATGTGGGTGAGAGTTTTAATCTGCTAACGCTCAGACGGTGGCAGGCTGCCAGCCCAGCACTTAGCGCAGCCTCTCTCCCCCAGCTGTCTCCTCCGCTCACTGGCTCTCAATGCCACTATTCAGTCAGTGGCAAACGTATGGGATTTGAGAAGACCCAAAACTCACGGTGAGAACAGCCACCAAACAGAATCTGTCTCGTGAGCTCACTCGGCTCCCTGCGATGATGGACCTGTGGGTTTCTCCACCCACAAATCTATCCAGAGCAGCTGGATATGTCCCTCAGGAGGGAAAACTAAGAAAATCTCTCCTCAGCCCACACCCACAAAAGGTTAAGGAGAATTATTTTTGAACTTTATCTAATTCAAATACTATGTCTCAACAAAGCCGTGTACAGGTAAGGCCTCTAACAGTCTCTCACTAATCTTTCAGCTGCCAAATCCTTAGGATGGCTGGCCTTCATGTGATAAATTCTGAAAATGCTGGTATCTGTCCTATCCTCTGAAAGCCAGAAACCTACTGATGTTTGGTTGGGAATTGGAAATATTTCTAAAAGCCTGACTGAATCTTAGAAAATAGAAAACAACCTACCCCATGTTACATAATCGGGCTGGAAAACATGTTTCAGATTAGAAAGGCAGCCAGCAATTTCCCAGGACTCAGAGGCCTGGGCTGTTCGTTTGGCTCTGGACCTGTTTCAGAATGACAATATTTTCACCTCTCTGTTTATCTCCTCATCTTTCAAGCGAAGACACATTTCACTGCCCCGCCCTGCTGCTGACATACCTCTGAATACTGCACTGTCTCCCCATTCTAGGGAGGATGAATAACTCTCAAAGCGGCAGAATTATTATGCTGCTCAGAGAGGTTGGAAGATCAATAAAATGTTTCTAACACAAATCGGAAATGAAAATGAAGAGCAATCAAGGTCTTCAGAAGGGACCAGATCCATACAAAATTACAACCTAAGCAGCCCTCTAATCAAAAAGGCGGTTCCCGGGAGAGTCTGTCATACCTGTTCGCGTTCTCAATTAACCCAAAGATGCCCGGATGACCTCTCGGTCATGCCCCCTGCCCCAGCCTGTCCTCCCCGGGCAGGGCCAGCCACTTCCTTAGCTCTTATTTTGGGATAATACAATGCTGAGTTTGAAGAGGGAAATGTCAGCAGGGCCGGGGGTAGGGCGGGTTTCTGGTAACGCTGCAACCTGTTTAGGACGCTGGCGTTGGGTGGAAGCAGAGAGGCAGGGGTCCAAATTCTGGCTCCTCCACCCAATCTGGCACCGTTTGTGCCAACTCTTAGTTTCTTCAACTTCAATGAAGATGTAGGAACAGTTCTACCGGGGGATCCCGAGGGTTAAGTGCTGTATGTAGGTTTCCGTGCCCAGCGCATGGCAAATAATCCAGTAAGATTTTGTTGGATAGTGGGTGGAGAAGCAACAGAGCTAGCTCCAAGCTGTGTACCCTCACGGAGTCTTGCACTTAAATAAGATGTTATCATTGTGTTGAGATTCTCTCTAATTTTTGAACAAAAAGGCCCACATTTTTGTTTGTTCCAGGGCCCCCCAAATCACAAAGCGAGTCCCACTGAGAAGCCAGAGGCCAGCCCGGTGCTCAAGGAGTCTACACCATCCAGTAGCATTATAGTGCAGCCCCATGCGTGACCCCCACACTTCGAGCTCTTGGTATTTTTGGCAAAATACCACATATGGGGCAAATCTAAGGTGGAAATATTTTGTAAACCTGCACCATTTCATAGTAAGCTTCCAGAAACGTGTTTTTTACAAAGTAATACAACCTTTCCTTTGGAGCCAAGGGTCTGCTCCACCACTGGTGACCAGTCCTCATGTGAAGAAGGCAGTGAGTGTGAGTCCATCCTCCCTCTGCTCTCTCCTCCTCCCAGGGAGGTGGAGCACTTATCAGTGCATTCAACTTGGGAGCAACAAACTGCTCCCCATTTCACCTGTTCCTGGAGAGGGAGTAGTATGTCTGTCCTAAGCCAGGCAATGTAACAAAGTAAGTGAATCTGTCTAGTTCTGGGGTTTGACATTAGGAAACCTGTTTGGCTCTCATACCTGGCCATGGTCCTCAACTAGTCTTAACAGCAACAACAGCAGGATCTGGGCTTTCATCTATTTATTCAATTAGCTCTCTCTTCACTCTGTTCAGTTCTCATGAAGAAGGATGAGAATTAATAGACACTTCATCAACCCTAACAAACAAACTTCTGCCATTCATCTTCTGACTTAGGACAATATTTAATTTAAATACTTATGAAAAGCTAAGCTTGCTATGATGAAGCAGCATGGTAGATAATCTTCGATTCAGCACATCCCTAAACTGAAAGACACAATAACCTATTCCCAATCCCTTGGCTCAAGAAGCATATCCAAAGAGAGTAAAACCCCAGAACCCTGACTCTCAAGTTTTAGTTTGGGTATCATTTGGAGGGCTTGTTACAACACAGATTTCTCAGCCCTTTCCATTCTCAGCCCCTTTTGCATTCAGTGGATCTGGGGAGGGCCCCAAAATGAGCATTTCTACTTTGAGTGAACAATGCCAATGTTGCTATCCAGGAACCCCATTTTGAGAACCACTGGTTTTTATTCCGGTGCAGGAGCCAGGACCTAGGTGTCTTATGTTCTAACTAAATGCCCTTCTTGGCCCAACTTCTTGTTTCATGGCTGTGCCTTCCTCAGACCTGGCTGGAAGTTCCCTCTGGGGCAGTTTCTATATTTGCACTCCCCACCTGAAGTGAACTTACACTGTGCTCCAAAATAATGTCTATAATGAGCCTCAAGCTTCCTAGAAAAAAAATGCTTTAACAATACTTAGTACTGCTGGCACTAACATATGTTACAAAAAATCATGCAAAGAGAGGTTTATGAAGAAAAAGAAATGCCGTGAAGGGTAAATGTTCAGTAAGTGCCATCAGCCCACAGACCAAGAACCGAAGAGGCTGATCAATGTATTTTCTGATCTTTCTATGGTGTCATCTATGTCTATGCTTATTTTGCTAAAAATAAACAAGAAAACTGTTTATACTTACCCAGAGTATTGGTCGCAAAGTTTTTTTCAAGTCCATCTTCTGTGAGTTCTCTTTTATTGACCATGCAACCTGCATTATTGATCTAGAAATTACAGTTTCCATTTCAGAATAAAGGCAAGTAGGGTCAAAGGATCTGTTTCTAAACCTCGCACCTCCAGTGCCACAAGACCCACATTCAGGTGTTGACAGTTCTACCTAAGTGGCCCTTCACACCAAACCCCTTCCAGGAAAATGCCACCGTGCAAAGACGCAGCCACAAAACTGTGCAGAGATGGCCAAGTAAGATGACTTGGTGGGCAACCTCACCCTCAGTCACAATAAAGTGCTGTGGGAATCTGTCTGACCCATTGCTATCCATTAGGAATATGCCAATTGTAAGTCTTGGATAATGTAGCCACGTTAAAAAGGTAAAAATATATAGATAAAATTGATTTTAATATTATACTTTCTTTAACTCTACATATCAAAAATAAAATCATTTCAGCATGTAATCAATGTAAAATATTAACAATATATATTTTTAAATTTTTTAAAATATTTTTTCAATAATATAGCTCACATTATTTTTTTCCCAGTATGTCTCCAAATCTGTTTAGTTTTAGACTTGCAAAACATCCTAGCTACATTTCAAATGCTCCATCACCATATTGGACGTCCGAAACCCGACCATGGCCCAGACAGATGTTCTGGAGCAGGTAAGAAACTACTGCTCAGTCCAAAGTGGAAGTGTGCGGAGCAGATGGTACCATCCTTACCCACTTCCACCTCCTCCTGACCCATTCTCTTGTACTAAAGATTTGCTTGTCTGTTTTGGGCATTCTTTTGGAGTAAACTTTTGTTTTTATTTCTCCCTGAGCCAATATTTTAATGCACCAATCCCAGGTCTACAGAACTCAGAATACAGTTATAAGCAGCATCATTTTATAAAAAGTGGAGCATGTCCATCGTCCTGCAGAGCCGACCTAGAGGGCTTCTTTCCTTGTCCCACAGATCTAAACCAAGAGCTGGTTCTCCTCTTGAATCCAGTAAGCAAATGATCACATGGACAGCTCTTCCTACAAAGGATTCTCACTCTGAGGTCCATATAAATACCCACAAAACTATCCACATCCACCTGCAAGAAACGATTATAAAGCTTACCAGAACATTGAGTGTATGTTCCTGCTTGAAAGTTTCAACAAATTTCCAGATTTTCTTGGGATCAGACAAGTCCAAAATGTGCAGAAAGATGTTCTAACCCAGAAAAGAAAAAAGCTTGTAAAGCCTCTTTGAAAAGCCATGAACTATTATTTTTGTAATTAAATATCAAATAATTTAATGATATAAAATGGAAAGTAGTATGTGGTATCTGTACCCTTTCCATGCACATAGAATCATACTGTATATTTTTTTAGATTTATTTTTAATTTTTTATCAAAAAACCATTGGTTTATAGTACTTCAGCTATACATCATTATAAATCAACATCCACATACAGTACATTATGCTCACCACTATGTGTTGCTCTTTTTCACTTAACGATCATCTTTTGGAGATATTCTTGTTGTTGTCTTATATAAATTGACCTTATGACTACCTAACATACATTTCATGGATGTTTCTTCCTTTCCTACTGTCGATCATTCATGTGTTCTTGTCAATATTTTCCTATTAAGATAGTATCTAAGGCACATCATAACTCTTAGATTGATAGCTTCCTCTGTGACTTGGTCTTTGCTTAGCAGATTCTGTCTTGAGTTATCTCTTCTCTGGACACAGCTTCCTCCTCCATCAGATTTACAATTCCATGTTGAACTCCCTCCTATGGCAGCTGACGCAGACACTCATACAGATGCTTACTATATATTGGTTTCTTTGTCCTTCTTTTTCCTCTGTATCTAGCACATGGATTAAACTCATTTTCTCAGTATTCAGTGAATGCAGGGGTTCACCTCTGACCCCCACCAAGTGAATGTGATGGATTGCCCACCCAAGGCTGAGATTCCTGCTGCTTCAGACACCCAAGAACTGAACCTACAGATGAGAATCTGAGCAATAGCCACAATTCCTTTGATAAAGTAGAGAGTACAGTGCCCAGTCTCAGTTTCCCCATTAACTGCATCATAGAACCTGAGGAAGTATTCAGAATTTCTTTCTATTAATCCTACAACATTGTTTTCTCATCCTGACACAAAGATTCAGAATGAGCAAAGAGAAGCAACCCCACATTTTCATGACTCAGACGGTCTGTACGCACTTTGAATACCATATTCAGCTTAAATTGGCACAATTAAACATTCCTTTACCGCCAGAGGATAGGAAAGGCATTGTTGCAAAGCCTATCCTCTGAAAATCTGCAAAGGCCCTGGCCTAGCCAGAATGGATGCAAAGGTCATATGTGGATTGGCCACGAGCCCCAGCAATGCCTACATTGACTCTGGACACTTAGTCCTTTATCCTTTCTTTCTAAGGGCTTTCCTGCAACCTACCCTAATACTCCCTCTCTCAACAGGGATGCCTACAAATCTTAGTTCAAACCAAATTTCAAGTGAAGCAAAATCATTTCTACTTGCAATATGTCACAGACTTTTCTGGAAGTTACCAAAGTGTCTCAAAATTAACAGGAAGTAGCAGCAGGGGAGATAGACTTTCTGTACTAGACAAATCAACCATGGAGCCTGGTGAAATGAGGCATCGTGAGAAGATGAAGGAAGGCATCTGTTTCCTTCTACGGAAAATAGGAAACCAGAGACACTCAGGAGAGGCAGACAGTCTGCTGTAACCAGAAGGAACTAGAACAGGTACATATGTGTAATCCTGATCTGCTGACCTATGCTAAGTAACATGTGTTCTACATAAGAATACATATTACTCTGCTCTCCCTGGTAGTGCAATGGGTTAAAGCACTGCATAAAGAAGCTCTCTGAAGCCACGGCAGCACGAGTTCGATCCCCCACCAGGGAGCTGACCCACATGGCGAGGCAGACCTCTTCTGACCGGGCTGCTGCTTCTCTCAGCAGTGTATTTCAGTAGATCTGCCTGTTCTGCTACCCACTCTGTCTCTGGTGAATTCTCTCACCACCCCTGCGCCTCTGGCCTGTACCCCAGTTCTGTAAGCATAAATAAATAAATCTTTGAAAAAAAAAAAAGCCAACAAATGACTATGTAGATCTGCATGTGATGACATATGATGTCACTACAGGGATTGTCTAGGAGCCACTGAGTGGCTCCTGCAGAACAAGCCATTGCACTAGCTCTTTAGATCCTGGGATACAAGTTTGTTCACTGAAACGGAACAAGACTCAAATGTGATTGAGTGCTATGATAACCTGAAATTCCCCTGCCACAGCACATCTCATGCTACATCAGGGCCTAGTGGCAACCTCTTTCAACAAACGGAACAAACGGAATTGACTTCAGGGGCTGGTTTCCTAAGGGATGAAACAAGATGAGAACTCACTTGTTTCTCTTGGGATGGTGAAGTAATCGAGAGATCACTTACAGTCGGAAGCCCCTACCAGCTCTGGCTGGAGGAGATGGTGTGGCCCAGGCCAGGAGTCAGGGTCTCTCCAGAAGGGAGAAACACAGAGGAGTTTCAGCTGTTGCCAGGGAAGCCAAATATCCTATTTCCCACTGCTTCCTACCCACCCCTTCCTCTAAAATCCCCCATTGACTAAACCCAGCAGACTAATGTGAGCAAAGATGCACATACTCCAGCGTCCCCACTCCCACCTGCCCTCGTGATGACACAGAACTGAGCAGACAGGCAGGGGGCAGGCATTAATTCACTGAAAGAACTTGTCGATCACCAGGATCCCTCATGAGACAGTACGAAGTTATCTCTGTCTCTACTATTCCCCCTTCAGCTCCTAGCACACCTGACATATGGTTCAGAGTCAAAAAACACACCCAACATAGAACAGTATATAACCCATTTTTCAGTTGAGGAAACTGAGGTTCAGAGAAGTTAGGGAGCCTGGGACTCCAGGTAACAAGGGCACTGAGCCTAGTGAGCGCAGAACCAGGACCCAAATCTGAGCAAGCTCCCTCCCACATCTCACCCTGTGGGGTGGACCAGATGCAGCTGTAGAATGGAGCCTTCTCACAAACAAGGAGGAGCAGGACTCCCTGGCAGAGCTGAGACCTTACACTGAGTCAGGGAAGCCACGCCCACAGGACTGGTGCTCTTTTCCCTGGGTCCTCCCAGTTCTCCCAGCGAGAGGCCCAAGAAGAGGGAGCTCCATGGGTTGTTCGGATCCTTTGTGTGTGTCCTGGGGTGGGTGGGCAGTGGTCAAAGGGGTCTCTCTCCCCACTCCTATCTGCCTTCCTATCTCACCTCAATATCCTTTACAAAGATGGAAGAAAGGGATATAAGAATGGGTCAGCATTACAAACCACATTGTCAATTTTATCCTCATAAATCCACTTTGTGAAAAAATGTGGCCCATACCACTGTGGGCTGGAATCCAGAGCAACCTCCTTCTGGATATGGCCTGAGATTAGCATTCCTAGTGTGTTGTACAGCAGCACAGCTGAAAGTTATCAGTAGGCAGACAGCCAGGTTTCAATCTCAGCAAGTGAAGCCCCCAGAACAGCGTCACTTGCAGACATTAGGGGAAGATTTAGAGACCCTCATTCTCCTTACCCCGGAGCTTCTGTAAGGCATCTGGTGGGAAGCTATGGAGGTCTGGGTGAGTAGGAAAAAGAACAACCACAGTTTTGAAATGACATTTTCTTAAACAATGATAACCTTCATGAGGAGATGCAGAATATTTCATTCCAGGTTATGGCACTTTTTTTCTTTGACCACAGGCCAAGTCTAAGGGAATGGAGTCCTGTTCACCTTTATGCATCCACATAGTCCCTCAGTTGTGGACACTATGGTTCAGTAGCAAGAGGGGGGCTGCTGGAGAAAAAGCTCCATAGGAGGGCCCTCCCTGATGGTGCAGCGGGTTAAAGCACAGTGGCTAAAGCCACTTCAGCAGGAGTTCGATCCCTGCCTGTCCCAGAGGTGACCATATAGCACGGCAGACCTCTCCTGACCCGCCAAGCTGCTCCCTTCAACATTGTACCTCATTGATCTGCCTGTTCGGCTCCCCACTCTGTCTCTGGTGAATCCTCTCACTGCCCCTGCACCTCTAGCCTGTACCCCAATTCTGGATGTATAAATAAATAAATCTTTTTTAAAAAATTATAAAAAAAAAAAAAAAGCTCCATGGGAGACAGGAAGAAACTTCAGAAATTGAAGGAAGACATTCCTTAGTAAAACAGAGAGTCATCACCAGGCTTCCTCCTCTCCACTTTATGGGCTTTATATCCAGAGCCAGTTTCGTTGTAACCCGTGCAAGCACCCTGGCTCCATACTCGGGAGACCGCATGCTTCAATCAATGTTCTGCTTTCACTGTCTTGGGAGTCTCAAATTTTACACAAGGATCCTATATTTTTATTTCCCACTGGGCCCCACAACTTATGTAGCCAGTCTTGCTCCTGACTTTCTCACAAAATTTGAGCCAGATCTCAAAGTTGTTGCTAGAAAATGACTATTACAGCCAAGATGTTGCTTGTTGTCACTCTTGATTAGCAAAACCACTGGGTCAGTTTACGGCTTGTCTGAGTTACCCTTAATGTGTCTGGCTGTCTTGGGTCTTCTGGGGTAGAAGCTCCAGTCATGCCATTGTCCAGCTTAATGTCTCCACAGCAGGGACTTGCCCCTGCCTGCTGCCTTCAGGGTGCCCAGGCTAACTCTCAGTGCCCCTGCTAATTTGGGTCAACTCTGTTATTGCAAAACACAGCTCCAGGTCTCGGCTGCCTAAGGCTGCCTCCAGAGCAAAAGTATGGGCATTGGCCATTGCTTACCCAGGCAGTGTATACCCCCTTGCAGCTGACCCCCGGAGGCAAGAAACCCCAGCAGGCCAGCAAAGAGCAGCTCACCTGGTTACCGCTCTCCCTGATGATCTCACCTTTGGCACCTTCAGCTCGACTTTGATCTCGACAAACCAGGTGAACTGTGCCACCTGGTGGAATTCAAGGAAACCTTCGTGAGTTATAGTGATAGCAGCCAAAACCAGTTTTTCCAAATGAAGATTGAAGCCTGCAGAAAGGGTACCTAGAATTGAGACTATTCTGGAAAATTAGACGATTGTCCCCTGCAGTGAGAGTAGAGGTGGAATAAAGGTAAACCTGGGCACTGCTCTCCTTGCCTCTCTGGGTAATTGGCACTGTATATGGCATAATATCCTCATTCCGCCCCCCCAACCCCCGCCATGGGTATGAACATATGCAGGACAAAAAGTGCCTGTTGCAGTCACACTTGTCAAGTGGCATAGCACCTGGCTTCACGTTAGACTCACCTAAGGAGTTGTAAATCTCCAGATGATGGGCCCCTTCTGGGATATGCTCTCAAAGCTCCCCAGGTGAGCCTAAGGTTTAGCCCAAGCTGAGAACTACTGGCCTAACATGTAGCAGGGACTCAATTAATATTTATTGAATGGCTCAATTCACAAATGGTAATCAGACTATCCCAGCAAAGGCCATGCCATCATCAATCAAGTTTTATTTAAGGGGGAATACTTGGCGGCAGCAATTAACAAATAATCATTACAAAGCCTGCTTTCTTCACTTAAAATAGCCTGCTTTATTAAACGGGGCCTCTTTCATGGGAGGCTCCGGGCTACCACATCGCCAGCTACTCTGCTTTGTCCTCCTCCCACGACACTTCAGAATAACCCCCCCCCCCCCAGTAGCTAAGATGCAGTTAATCCTGCCATGACTCGGCAGATAATTAAATACAGCTCCAAACGGTATCATATTCCCCTAGCAAATGCCTAACTTGATTATAGAGAAAAATAAATATCCTGAGCACCTTAAAAGTGATAAATTCCCAATCTATTTCCCCACCTTCTGCTGGAACAGCAATTTTCCTAGAGAAAAGGCTCTGGAGAGACACAGCAGACATTTCTAATCACCACGGTGCCATCCAGTGACCCTGGGCAGGTGAGGTCATGCAAAAAATTTTGGCATTTACCAGAAGGAAGACTTTAGTTGACTGAATAATTTACAGAGCACCCAGAGAGACTCCTCACAGAATCAAGGTTAGGGAAGAGAAACAGGCGGCCACCCCCAGCTGCTCTGGCAGGCTGGACACCAGGCAACCAGAAGGATGGAGGATGTTCACTGCACTCCTTCTGCAGCTATTCTAGGGGCTCTGGTTCTTCACTAGGGTTCACAGTCAAAGTGCAGTGGACTTTGACTAAATTAATTCTAAATGAGAAGTCATGAGCTGGACCTAGACCAGGCAGCCATGTTTTATCAATAGCAAGATCTTTGGATTAACAAAAACACCGATGTCCAAGGTGGACTGGAGACCCTCACTTGTCTTAATCATAAAGCAATGTGATATGTAGACAGACCTGGGCTCCCCTTGAATTTAATAGGTGCCAGAGAGAGGATCCTCAAGCCACTGGCTCCAGACACCTCTAGCTTGAAGTAAAGCACAGCTCAGACACTGGCAGGACCTCCTGGCCACACTGGCTGGACGCTGCTGATCTGCTGTGGCACAGGGCACTCTCCCCAGGGTGGACCTGCTGTAGGCTGGCCTTGGGGCGCAAGGGACACACGGCTGGCAGGTTGCTCACCCCGCTTGGCTATTGCAGTTGCAGTTGCTTTTCCAATGCCACTGTTGCCTCCGGTGACCAAGAACGCTCTTCCAGGAACCTGGATTTCCAAGTCATCAGGGACAAAGTCCTTAGCTGCAGATTCATAGCCACTCCTGGAAGCAGCAGACCCACAGAAAGAGTGGCAGTCAGGCGTGGGGAAAACAAGTCTAAATCTGATGGGCGTTACTGTCCACTAGCATATCACATGGCTTCTTCCTTCGCTGGCCTCCCAGTTTCCTTGCCTGGTCTCACAAACAATTCCTCCTCAGACCCTACGTTTCCTGTACCTTTAGCTTCTGAGGTTTTGAAAATATTCGAAGATACAAATAATTTAGCATCCAAAACTTCTTCCTCTGACTGCTTCTATGACCAGGAAGTCCTCCCTACCTCTCCCCCCATCTTAAATCCTTGAATAGAAGGATTTACGTTTTCTCCTTGGTGGGGCCATGGGGAAGTGGAGAGACCAGGGAGAGAAGGGAAACCATTACTACCATGTTATTGCACAACAGGAAAGGTATCCTACCAGCTATAGGCCCTGGTGTGGGAGATTTGCAAATAGGGAATAGTAGAAAAGGAAGGGAGTTATTTAAATTCTGCCCTCCTATCAAAGGAGTAAAAGCTCCATGAGGAGTACGGGGTGTAAACTAAACTTGAGGGGGCTCCATTTGGACCAAGGTGAAGGGAGATTGGCATCTACATTGCAACAGCCTTTTGACAGCTGGCAGCAAAACATATTAAGGATTTGCTATTATTCATTTGCATAAAGGCATCCTATTAGATAAAGCAACCTTAACTGTTTCTTCTCTGCCTTTTGAGACACCGCTTCTACCTTTACTTTTCTAGTATTTCCTGGTTTTGAAATTAACTGCAGGCAGTAGAGAGAGAATTGAGGGGAGTTGTGAGGAGGAAACCCTGAGGGCAGACCTGTCCCTCACACCACCAGGCTGGGGTCTCAGAACTTGCAGCTCTCAAAAAGAGCTGAGTCCCCTGAGACATAAAATGACTCTCTCCTGTGAAAATTCTACAAGAAACCCAGCGCTCTCCCACATGCTGTGTTTACACACAGGCTGCCAACACTAGTCTCCTGCCCCACACCCTGGAACAGCACAACTGCCAGCTACACTCTCTGGACCCTGGGGAAGAGGCCAAGGAATGTTTACGGGTTTGATTTGGAAGCCGGTGTCCAGGGGCAGCCATCTCACAGTCGGGAGACCAAGAATGTTTGTGTTCCCACATCTGTAACCCACCAAAATGTCCAGGGCAGCTCAGAGAGAGCCTTTCCAATTGCTTCTGCTGCTCTTGGCCCAGTTAGTGGGGCAAGAAGACCCAGTGGCTACCCCTAAGCCGTCCTAAAAGGCTGACTTGAAACTAAAACCATTATCAATAACAAGGGCTTTGGATCGAAAAACCTCAGTTTAAATTGCAGCTCTGCCTCTCAACAGCTGTGGTATAACATGTATTGGCTTAAACTTCCTGAGCTATCTCCTCATCTGCAGAAAGGGGATAGATAATAGGAGCTACCCCTGGGGCAGCCTAAATGAGCTGTATGTTAGACAGTTATCACCACACTTAGAGTAAATTAAGACCCAATAAATAGTAGTTGCTGCTATTATTTTACTGTTACTACCAATGATATCAATATCTTCCATGTTCAAAACTGAGCTCCTAGACATTCTGCAGGGGAGGGAGAGGGGGCCGGAAGATCACTAGGGACTCTGGTGATGGTGTGCAGGTGAATTGGTGGCAGAAATTCTATGGTAGTTCTGGTGTGAAATTCTGATGTAAAATATAGATAAATAAATTAACTAAAAAACAAAAAACTGAGCTCCTACATTGCAAGCATTTCAACCTCTAACCAAAGATGAAGCTGTTTTCTCCCATAAGGGGTGTCCAGGATCACTGTGGAAGGATTTTCTTGCACAGGCACATGGTTCCTCAGAGAGCCAAGGGCCCAGGAGTCAATGAATAGGAAGCCAGTCAGCAGTACTGGTAAGGAAATAGTGAGAGCTTTCCAAAATTTTTTTAAAGATTTACTTATTTATGCATACAAGAACTGGGGTACAGGCCAGAACTACGAGGGTGAGAGGACTCACCAGAACACAGCAGGGTACAGAACAGGCAGATCAAGTGAAATACACTGCTGAGGGGTATTTGAATGGGCAAGTCAGGAGAGGCCCTCCATGCCATGTGGGTCACCTCCCTGGCCAAGGATTGAACTCACACTGCAGTGGCTGTGGACAGCCTCACAGTGCTGCACTCAACCCATTGCGGCACCAGGGAGGGCCCACTTTCCACATCTTTTTTTTTTTTTTAAGATTTATTTATTTGTGCATACAGAACTGGGATACAGGCCAGAGGCTCAGGGGCGATGAGAGGATTCACCAGAGACAGAGTGGGGAGCAGAACAGGCAGATTGATGAGTTACACTGCTGAGGGGAGCAGTGGGAGAGACAGAAGAGGTCTGCTGCACCATGTGGGTCACCTCCTACCTGGGGATCAAACTCACACTGAAGCGGATGCAGCTAGGCGTCCTATTCTGTTGCACCTCCAGGGAGGGTCCCCACTTTCCAAATCTTAACAGAGGCAGCAGAAGGGCAGGGCACAGAGAACATGCAGGGAACTGGCCCAAGGGCCCTTTCTCCAGGACCAGGGGAGCTTTTCTCTATGACTCCCAGGGAGGGATGACCTTAGCCTTTGGGCTTGATCCTATTAGAGGCTAAGAGTGGTTGAGGGCGGAGGCTCCTGGAATTAAACTGCTTCCTCAAACTTGGCTGTCAGACAGCTGGGAGGTGACAAGCAGGATGTGTCATACCCTTCCTCTGTCCTTTGCCTTGGGCTCTTTGTCTTTAACACAAGGATTTAATCCTGGTCCAGCCTGGGTTATTATTAACAACTCGAGGCTTATGAATCTGCCTTCCCTCTTTATCATCAGCAGAGAGGTAAATGACTAGCCTAAAGTCCCGAGAGGGTAGTGATAAATCCAAAGGAGGTTTTTCTACTCTCTCAACACCCAATCCAAGTCACCTACTACACCAGTGGTGATCATGCTTATTGAAATAAGCCAGAAAGAAAAAGAAAAATGCAGATGGTTTCACTCATAGCAGGAGTGTAAGGAATCAGGAGAAAAAATACACACACACACACACATACTATATACATAGTAATTATGGTAAAGTAAAAAAGGACATCAAGTAACAACTGTAAATCAGAGACATTCTACTAGGGAGGAGGGGAACAAGGTCGAAACTGGGGTGGGAAGACACATGGGGCTATGGTGGTGGGAAGTCCACAGGGGTTACAACTGAGATGAAAAAAATGTATAAAATGAAGAATAATGTAAAAAAATGTATTTATAGCATAAAAGAAAGAAATGGTATAAAAAAGGATGGTTTCTAAACTGGCAGCATTAGCATCCCCCAGGAATCTGTAAGAAATAGTTCTCTGCATCAGGTGCTGAGCCCGGTGAAATCCGTGGTTTCACATGCCCATCGGGTGATTGTGATTCAATTTGAGCAAGCACTGTTCTAAAGTGTTCTCTAAACCCAGAAGATAGAACTCCCCGTGAGGCAAGCTCCCAGGCCTCTTCTTGTCTTGCTAGAAACTTAGAAATCTGATTTTGTTGTTTTTATTTTTCAATTGTCCTTGGTAATTTTAGGTTCAGGCAAGTTTAGAAAAGGGTGACCGGATCCTGCTGCCTAATACTGGGACCCAGTCATGGGAAACTTAATTAAAAGCCCGGTGTGCAAGAAAAAAATCATTAACCCAAACTATAGGCTCACACAGGAGGAAAAAAATAAGGTGTTATCTTCCCTCCAATTCACTAAATGCATAATAGCAGGAACCAGCCTAAATTTGCTTCTTCTCCCCCACCCCTTCACGAAAGAATCTAGAAAGAGATTTCTAGAAGCCTGCTTTTCCAGGGCTGAGAGCTGACTGACATGCTGTGTTCTGTGTAACCTGCCGGAGAACACCCCTTTGCGAAAAGGAGGCTGCCACTGTGTTCAGGCCTAAATCCAGTAGGTCAGGGCTGATGGCTACACTTTCCACCACTCTCTGCAGGACTGACCCCTGAAAAGGCCTGCTTTCCCCCCAAAAGGTGTGGGGTGAAGAGAAGGGAGCAACAGCAGCTGCCATGCCTTAGAATTCTGCCTGGGCTGCCTTCCTAACTGATAAAAACTCTAGTGCAGGTGTACCAGGTGGTCCCTAGGAAAAGGGGACGTTCCAGGTTCTCTGCCCCACCCAGAAGGAGTGTGGAGCTGAGGAGAGAAGAGAAGGAATCTGAGGAAGAAGGAAGCAGGATGGAGAGCCAGGAGACCTGAGGAAGCCACATATAGCAGAGGGAGACATGCGAAGAAACCCTGCTTGTTTCTTGACCCTGGACTGGTTAAGGCAGATGTGGGTGAGAGACCTGTAGGGAGGTGACTATGGCAGTGTTTATATTGATTTTGATTTTGCTCTTTACCTCCCACACCTGTCTGGCCATTTCTGACCTTTTCTATGGGTCCCGGCCAGAAGGTGCTTTAGCCTTGTGGCAGGCTCTCAGGGCTTGCTTTGGGCCAATCCCTTTTGGGTGGACTTTTACCCACAAGGGGATGGGTAACTTTGGGTGTTAGATTTTTTTTGTCTTCTGTGTTATACACTCACTATATTAAAGTTCCTTTTCATTAAAGTCTTAAATGTTTTTTCTTGATGCAGTGGATGGCAGAACCTATTTAGAGTAGGCAGGTTTGGGGGTTCAAGGGTGCCCCTCTCTCCCTGCCCTGTAACACAGGGAGAAAAGAGGGTCTGAGAGATGACTGGGGGGCAGAGACAATCACCTGGGGGAATCTTTGTAAAGCATCAGTCCAAGTTGCAGTGCAGAGGTTCTGAAGCAGAATTTCTAGATGTGGGCTGTGCAAACTGGTATTTTTAACTTTCCTGAGGTGATTCTGTGTTTAGACCAGGTCCAGAGTCACAGCAGGTGACTAGTTACCTCAAGATTGAAATCTTTATCTCACCTCCCTCGGAATTGGCCTAACCCTAACTCTTAAAAATATGGTAAGATGGGCCCTCCCTGGTGGCGCAGCGGGTTAGAGCACAGCAATGAGAAGCTAAAGCTACTTCTGCATGAGTT